TCTCTCTCTCTCTCTCTCTCTCTCTCTCTCTCTCTCTCTCTCTCTCTCTCTCTCTCTCTCTCTCTCTCTCATCTCCTTATTCCCTCTTCCTCGCTGTTCTGTGCCAGCTCCCTTTTCCACCCTGGCAATCGGTGATCGGTACTGTCCAGCCAATCCCAGGTAAGGCCTGAGAAGGTCTAGAGGAAAAACTGCAGCTCTGGGAGACGAAAAGAAATCCGAAGCCCTCTTCCATGCCTTGCTTGTAGACTGGCAGCCATATAGCTGCCACGTCCAGTAAGCTACCTACCTACTGTGGCTGTTTGGTGATGGCTATGAAAGGTCCTCTTTGGCACTTGGCTACTGTGGAAACTATGGCAGGAGGTCCCTCAAGTGAGTTGCTCTTGGATTGGCGCTACTCCACCTCTGCTTCTCTCTGCTACTCTCTCTCATTCAGCTGTCTAACACAGGTTAGTAGAGTGGCCAGGTTGGAGACTGTGAGACTGGTACCATATTTCGTAGCCAGGGATATCAGGTTCATCACCGTGCTTCAAACTCATTGCTGCACTCTCACAAAACCCCTGCATGCCTCAATGAAGTAGCTGGGGCTCAGCAAACTGATCCCAGGGGAGGTCCCACAGAGCTACGTCTGATCGTGACATTCCCCTTCAAAGGCAGAGACAGACCCGTGGGGACTGCCATACTCCCACGGGAACTGCCCCTTGCCTGACTGGAACAACAGAATGGAAGTTGGTGAACTTGACACAAGCGAAAGGCATCGAAGAAAAACGACGACCTCCAGCAGGCCGGAGGGGGATGACAACGACAACAGCAGCACCACCACCAACAACAACAGCAGCACCACCACCAACAACAGCAGCAGCAGCAGCACCACCACCACCAACAACAACAACAACAACGGCAATCACAACAACGACAAACGACAAACGACAATGACAACGACGACGACAAAGCCTCAGGCCATGTCCTTGGAAAAGCGGAGGATCATACCTGAACTTGGCTGGTTTGCTTGTCTGACTTGAAGCACAGCTTCGGGAGAAACCTGAGCAACAGACGAAAGAAGTGAGGTCAGCTCTGATGCTACCCAGAATGGAAATGGAGCCAGGACCATAAGAAGTTGATTATTTTATTAATATATTTTTATTTTATTTTATTTTATTTTATTTTATTTTATTTTATTTTATTTTATTTTGCAGTTCTTTTTTTTTTTTTTTTTTTTCCCACATGGGCCACATCTCGTTTTTTCAGTTTTCCTGAACTACGATTTTATATGATCCCAGGATATCTGTTAAAACAGCTGCGGGGGAGGGGGGGGGGGGAGAAGAAGCTTTACAGAGAATGCTAGCATAACCCCTGCAACGGCTGGCACATACAAATTGAGAGATGGTACAATCTAAGCCTTTCCCCCAACAACCTCAACCCCCACCCACCTAACAAAGCAAAAAAAAAAGACAAACATAGTTTGACGTCTAAATAAATGCAAGTAACATACATATACCCCTAGAGAGACGGGCAAAGTAACAGACGGATGGCCAAACATATCACATTGACAAATCGAGAGACAGCCTGAGATGGGAGAACAAAGCGGCAGAAGAGGGATGCAGAGACATAAAAGGATTAAGGTAGAGAAAGGCAAAGATGATGGGGACGGATAGACGTGCAAACAAGGTATACTTTGATAGGAAAGTAGTCGGATAGATGGGAAAACGAGCATGCAGAGGAACATACGGACAGATTGACAGGTAGCAGTATGGACGAATGGACAGGAGGGGAGCAGGCGGGCCAGTGGACGGGGCAGATAAAGGGACGAGCGGGGCAAGCAGAGGGACAAATTGGCACGCAGAGGGACGGACAGAGGAGACGGGCAGAACGCAGAGCAATGGACAGAGGGACAAATGGATAGGGAAAGGGAGGCACAGACGGACGGAGGGACAGGTGAAGGGAGCGACACATGGGTGGACAAAGAAAGGGAGCAACAGACGAAGGGACAGATGGAAGGAGGTACTGCAGAGATGGACGGAGAAAGGCAGGGCCAACAGATGCAGAGGCGGACGGACAGACAGACAGATGAACGAACCGACAAACAGATGGATGGATGGGGGCGGGGTGCATCACCAGGTGCGTGGACAAAGAGCTAGAGCTACCTCCACTTCATCCACCTTTCTCTTTCTGAGCGGATGCATCCACAAAACTGCTGTCACTAGATGGAGAGCAGTGATGGGACACCAATGAAGATAGCGCACTTCCGCAGACTTGGGCACTTGGCTAGCCACATGAAAAAGTATGGCGAGTGCATTTGCCACATTCGAAACTTGTCACATAGGCTTCAGGCCTATGCCTTAAACAAGTTAGGAAAAAAAAAACATATACATTAAAGTATACAAAAACAGAAAAAGGGGAACCTCGTTCTCTTCAGTTGATGATCACTGTCTGATAAACGTCATCCGATACTGCAACTCATAAACCTATAATTTGCAACACGGATATATGCACACACACTGACAGAATTCAAGACACAGAAGCACACGTGATGAAAAGCCCTCACTAGCAGTATTACTTTATGCCACTTCGTTTTGCATTAACATCTCTCTCTCTCTCTCTCTCTCTCTCTCTCTCTCTCTCTCTCTCTCTCTCTCTCTCTCTCTCTCTCTGTGTGTGTG